TGTTTCACGTTCTTTCTATACAAATTATGTTCGACAATTTTCTTTTATATGAAGGACACTGCCAGCAAAACAAAATTGCCAAAAACCAACGGAATTTTTCAGCAGCTTGAAGCTTGCACTTTATTAAACTAGAATTAAATGGGCTACAAAACTGCATACCAACATTTTTTTTTTTAATTCTGATTAAAAAGTTTAATATTTGGTTGAAGATTTGGGAAACTTTTATAATTTTTATATACTTTTATAAAAAAATAATAAACATTAAATAAACAAAACACAAAGAGACAAAACTGGTCAAAATATCGCACTCCTATTAATTTGTGGACAACTGTACATTATTCAGTAACATACATTTTCAATAAAAGTTGTTATGTTTAATTTTTAGACTTTTTAATCAAGACATTTTCGATAGTATCGATACTACCGATGGTTGTGACTGTCGCCTATCGAAACTATCGATGGCCACGAACATCCAGCTTTTTACCCTCCTCCAGCTTTACCATCCTCTTACTTACTACGTTTATGCGTAATTGACGAATTCATTTCATGAATTTGGGTTAGCATTGGCTGCATAAACACCAATTTATGAATTCAGTTATATACGAAAGTTGACCATCATTTCATGAAACCATGAAGTGCAAGTCCGGCAACGCCACGTTTCAAAAACAGATGTTTACTAGGGTTATGATGTTTTTAGAATAATAACCATGAGTGACATAACCAGAATTTTAAACACTGGAAAAGTTATGTGGAATTGTTCAAATATAAAATAAATTCAAATAGAATAAACTGAAAATATATTAAAACTAATTTAAATTAAATAAGGTTCATTGCCTGGTACCAACGGCTTTTGCAAATTCAAAAGGAGGCAAAAAAATCACAACCCTACTGTTTAGTTTCTCGCCAGTGCGTTGCCTTGCAATATTATTGATATTGCAACTCCCGACAAGTGGTCATTCGCAATAATGATACTGACATTTTTTACAACGTGAGCTGTCACTTTTTGGACTCGAACTTCCGCTGGTGAATCTTTTTTTCTCGATAGCGGACCGCATTTTGTATTGTATTTAAAATCAAAGTTCATCCATTAAATTAGTTTTATACATTGCATAAAACACTGTGTTATCATTTACGCAGCAAAAGTGGTGACCCCGCATTAGAGCATTTTTCTAAAAAACGTAAGTTGGGCGTGAAAGATAATAAAATGCCTGATAACGAAGAGCTCTCAAAAGAGATTGAGTCGCTTAAAATTCAATTAAACGAGGCATTGGCGTTTGGCGCACAACAATCGGCAGAACAGAACAATGCATCCGCAACAAGCCAAATCACATCGATATCGGAAGTAAAATTCACGCAGTTTTACGAAAACGACCCGGAACTTTGGTTTGTCATTGTAGAATCACATTTTGAGGCACGGAAAATAACCTCAAACAAATCGAAGTATTTGCACACAGTTGCCAACTTATCAAGCAAGGCCGCATTGCAAGTGAGGGAATAACTTCTACAACCGTTTAGCGATGAAAAGTATGACAAATTGAAGCAACAACTCATATCAATTTACTCCGAGTCAGCGACGATTAAATTTGAGAAGTTGATCTCAAATGAACCCTTAGGTGATATGAAGCCATCTCAAGCACTACACAAAATAAAGTCACTTGCTTCGAAAGACGTCGGAGACGATTTCATTAAAAACTTATGGATGAAAAAATTGCCGCAAACAACGAGAACAGTCCTGGTCGCATCAAAAGACAGACCAAATGATTTAGCCCAAATCGCCGACCGAATGTGGGAAGTTTCTGATAAAGTGTGTATCTCCAGTGTGGAACAAACTCCTCCGCTGGAAAAGACACTGGAAGTAATACAGCAAAAGTTAGACAAATTATCCGTACGACTGAATGCGATCGAAACGCAGACCAGGCCGACACGACGAAAAACAACACCGCATCGACAGCGTGGCCGCTCATACAGTGCCAAGCGATACGAAAAAGAAAGGAACGCTGATAATGACTTATGTTGGTATCACCAGAAATTGGGAGAGCGTGCAAAAAAATGTCGTTCACCGTGTTCATTGAACTTAAAGCAAAAAAACTAATGTGTGCGGTGTCAACCCAGGCGCCGACACTATGCACAGCTTCAAAGCGCCTGTTCATACACGACAGACTAACTGAGCACGATTTTTTAATCGACTCAGGGGCTGATCACTCAATACTAACACCAACTCACCGTATGAAGGAACTAATACGCAGCAACTGCAACAATAGCCAGACAGAAGAGTATGCAAAATACTACGCCGCAAATGGATCGCCAATACAAACATATGGTAAACGTTTATTGTGCGTATGCCTAGGGATGAGACGCGAATTCCCATGGAATTTCACCATAGCAGATTGCTCAACATCAATAGAAGGTGCTGACTTTTTAAACGAATATGGTTTGCATGTTGACATCAAACAGAGACGGGTAATCGATCCAATGAATGGGGCGTCATCAAAGGTGAAGTAGTTACATCGATTTCACCTCAGGTAACTACAATCGATGCGACTAACAAATTTTCGTTTCTTTTATCTGAGTTCAAGGAATTACTTGACGATAAACCATCATTTCTGGTTAAAGAACGAGCTAATGTAACACACTTCATCGAAACTACGGGGCTACCGGTCACAGCAAAAGCAAGACGGTTATCACTAGAAAAACTTAAACTCGCTATAAAAGAATTCAACGAACTACTCCGACTTGGCATCTGCAGACCGTCGAAGTCCAACTACGCCTCGCCGCTACACATGGCACCGAAAACCAATGGAGACTGGCGCCCATGTGTGGACTATCGGCAGTTGAATTTCCGCACAAAACCCGATAAATATCCGATTCCTCACCTGCAAGATTTTGCAAATATCTTGCATGGAAAACGCATTTTCACCCGCATCGACTTACGCAAAGCGTATCATCAAGTCCCCATCGAAGAGTCACATATTCCTAAAACAGCCATCATCACCCCATTCGGCTTGTTCGAGTATGTTTTTATGTCATTCGGACTGAGAAACGCGTCACAAACATTTCAACGATTAATTGATGAAGTGCTCCGGGGAATCGACTATGTTTTTGCTTACATAGACGACATATTTATCGCATCCGAATCATACGAACAGCTCGTCGAACACATTCGGAACGTATTCAAGCGCCTTAGTGAATATGGCCTACGGATCAACGCTGAAAAGTGCATATTTGCTGCTAGCAAAATAACGTTTTTGGGTCATGAAGTCACCGCTGAAGGTGTTAAATCGCTACCTGCAAAGGTATAAAAAATATTGTCCTTCCAAGAACCAACCACCGCGAAAGATTTAAAACGATTCATGTTAATGATTAATTTCTACCGGCGCTTTATCAGAAATGCAGCTGAAACGCAACAACGATTACAAGTTTTAATAAAGCACAATAAAAAAAAAAACGATAAGACACCTCTCTCGTGGACTGAAGATGCAAGACAAGCATTCAAGCATTACAAAGAGCAATTAGCAAATGCTTCGTTATTGGTTCACCCAGACGCAAACGCCAAGCTAATTCTAGCAACGGACGCCAGTTCAACTGCTATTGGAGGGGTCGTTCATCAAGTCGAAGACAACATCTGCAAAC